CCAATAACATTTTGAAAAAAACTTTATTTTTAAATTTATTTTGTCTTCTGGTGGAAACCCATTGATGATTACAGTTGGATGTCCTGATAACAAAGCAAAGAAAAGGTACATATATACTGTTGAGTATATATTTATCAAATGATAAGATATTAATATTTTGTTCATTTATACCTAAGTTAATTAAAGAAGTATCTCTTCAGATTATTAAAGAACTTCAAATAGTTAGAACTTTCCCTTAATAAAACGGGGCTATTGATATCTAATCTTCGAAAAGGAATGGGAAGTAAGTTGGCTGTAAAAAACAACATTTTTGGAAAAATGAGTGACCTAGAAGAATCTTAATCGCATTTTTATCATCTTGTAGTATCGAAAATTAATTATAGCATAAAAAGTTTTTCTAAAATTTATTGTTATTTTTCTTATTCTTTTTTGATAGTACTGGTGGCACTTCTATAAAAGACCTTGTTTTTGTTCAAGACACGTCTAGTTATATTCTTGATTTAATTATTCAACGTTGTCTTGATCTCCAGTCAGCTTTTGCTTGTATTTTTATGGATGGAGGAGGTGGTTTCATGAAGGTCATTGTAAATGTTTTCGATGTTAATGAAAATTCTACTTCAAATTTATACTTAAAGGGATCCCTAAGTGCTCCTAACATATGATCTCATATGAAAGAGCATAAAAAAAAATATGTAAGTTTTTTTTCTTTTTCCCTAAATTGTAATAATAAATGCATGCTAACAAAAAGCAATTGCCGAAATCACTAAAAAACAACTCCCTTTTGATTTTATTTTTTCACCATTGAAACTCGATTGTTAGTCGTTAAAAATCACGTTAGTACGTCACAACAACTTTAGAATATCTACTTCGATTTTCAAGTAAAAAAAAGTCGCGATTAAATAGTTAAGTTTTAATCAAGTTTTTTAAATTAGTTTTGCAAAAACAGTATAATAGCATTCGGTTGAAAGACGTCGTTAAAAAAAAGTTATTAAGTAATAGTTTTAAATAGTTTAGAACTTATAAAAAAGTCTTACAGGGCTCGTATTAAGCGTATCGCGATCGCGATTGCTTTTCACACTTTTGTGATTAGTTTTTTCTTAAAAAATCTTTTCGCGATTTGTTTTTTTTTTTGGTTGTTTAATTACTTTTTTTCTAGCTTAGCATTTTTTTAGCAATCTTTAAAAGTAATGTTTTTATCATAAAGAACGTCACACAAAATTTATTATTCTGAATAGATAGATTTGCTCTTTCGCGCGGAGATTTTCTTTCAACGTTAAACATTTTTGAATTTAAATTACTTTAAATCTCTGCGTGGAAAATTTTTACTAGGTCGTTAAAGCGAAAAATTGAAAAGTTGGTTTTTATCTTTGTTTATCAAAACTTCATGTTTAAAATAATGCTTAAAAACGTTAGAGCAAAAAAAATACTGACTTTTATTTGCATTTTTATACTGTTTGAAAAAAAAAACTAATAAAAAAGCATTAATTGTTATTATTATTAATTCTAATAATTATTAATTAATATATTATTAGTTAATTCTTTTTTATTAGTTTTTTTTTTCAAACAGTATAAAAATGCTAATAAAAACCAGCAATTTTTTTTTACTTTAACGTTTTCAAGCCTTATTTTAAACGTGAAGTATATTTCGATTTATTTAACCAAATTTTTTTGTTTCATCTTTTATTGGAAAACTTGAAATTGAAAAATTGAAAAAAACATCAACCATTTAAATGAAAAACTTAATTATATTTAAACTTTTATTAGTCCTTTATTCAAGAAACAATAAATTATAAAAAACGTGGTATATAATTTTTTATTAAGTTTTTGACGATGTTTTTTGATTTATTGACGATAATTCCCCCCCCCCCCCATTCACGCACATCGGCGCGACCTATAAGAGAGAGAGAGAGAGAGAGAGGGGGGGGGGGGGGGAGAGAGAGCAAAAAAAAAAAAATTTTTCGCGATTAGATTTTTTTTTGCGTTAATTCGAGCCCTGTCTTAGTTTAATTTCTAATAAAATGTCTATTCAACCTTATTATTTTGAACCAAAAAAATATAGCAAAATTAACATAAATGTTAATTTAAGTAAAACATTTTACAATAATTATTTTTTTTATCAAGCAAAAATGAGAGTAACCGTCACTTTTGAAACCATAAAAATGACTGAAATAAATTTATTTTTGTACTAAGGAAATATTTTAAATAAACTTTCATGTGTCTAAATCAATATTCATTTGTTAAAAACTGACTAAAAAGAGTTTAAAATTTGACTTCTATTCATTTTTGGCCGTGGAATTGCCCTTATAAAACAAATATATATATTAAAATTATAAAAAAAATTTTAATATACAAATATATTTTCACAAAATGCTACAAAACTTATTCTTGTAAGTAATTGTGTTAGTTGAAAAAAAAACGACTTTACTTTTAAATTTAATTACCAACTAATAAGTTTGCAATAATGACATTTTGTCTACTTTGTTTATTTTGACTTACAAAGATTTTTGAGATAATAGAGTCAATAAACTTTGGACAAGACGCATTTTTTTTAATCGAAGAAAAGCGTTTTTTTGAAAATTAAATTTGTTAGTGTGTGTTCATTATTACGTTTTAGAAAAAATAATATACATCAAACATTTTTTTTTTAATGCTCTTTCATATGAGATCATATCTTTATAGCACTTAGGGATCCCTTTAAATAGTGGTGTACAACGATGTCAAATCCTCTCCATAGTTAAAGATGTGCAAGAAACTTTAATACAAGAATAATTTTAGAGAAACTCAATTTACAAGATGTTATGTTTTCAGCAGCTTTTGAATGTGTTAATGCAGTTTTTGGAATATCAAGCCATGCAGGTAAAAAAGCTTGTCTTTGGTGTGAAGGAGACTCAAGTGAAGTTTGTGGTAAACTGCGAACACTTGGAAGCCTTGACTATTGGTATCAAAGATACACTGTATAGTAATAATAGTTCAAAGAAATCTAACATGAAACGTTTTATAAATGTGATATATCCAAGAATTCTCTACCTCGTCGAAGATCCCGATACACTAATCCAACATTTAGTACCTCCCCCTGAATTACAAATCTTGATAGAAATAGTAACAACAATGGTATGTTTATTATTGGATCTTTGTTCAGGATTTGATATTTTTTTGACAAATAGTGGTGTTCTACAGAGAGGATATCAAGGTAGAGGTTGGGATGGGAATAATTCAAACAAGATACTAAAGCGTGTCGATAAGTTGAAAAGGGTTGTTTTGTATGAATATCCTGATCCTCTGCCAATTGTTAAATGCTTAAAAGACTTTAAGATTGTAAAAGATTCTTGCTTTAGTAGAATACTTGAGCTTGGGAATCAGCAAGCGATTCTAAAATTTAAGAACTCCTTTTTATCTGCTCAAGAAATTGCAGATATTCTTGGAAAAACTTTCAATTAGTTGGAAAGTACATATACTCTTGTGCCATGTGCAACCTTTTGTTGAACACCACAAATGTGGTTTGTCTAAGTTTGCTGAACAATGCGGAGAATCAGTTCACTCAAAATTCAAACCAACATGGAACAGGTTTAAACGACAAGTTTCAAACAAAGAATATGGTGGAAGACTCCTCTCTTCTGTTATTGACTTTAACAGAAGAAGAGTTAGTAATGTTTAGGTGCTTTATGTTCCATATGTCAGTAATATTTGTAAATATTAGTCATTTTATTGTTTTAAATTTTATTCAATTCATTTAAATTAAAAAAAAAAGATTGATAAATAAATAAATAAAAAAAAGAATTTTATACTTTTTATTAGATCCTGGGGGCACTGTACCTGACTAATGAAATATAACAAACTCTTAATAATTTTGCAAATCTAAACTTCTAAAATAAATTCAGAGAGAAAAAAAAATTAAAAAATCTTAAATGGGTATGGGGCCCCTAAATCTTTCCTTTTGCCCCATTGGGACCCTTAGTACTTGGTTTAGAATTGAAAAACAACTTTTTCTATTATTATAAAATAAATACTAATAAGTAAAATTTTTTTTTTTTAATTGACACAACATAAAACCTGGCGGTCTCTCTGGTCCACCATGATATATATTGTTCCAAAAATTCCAAATAAAATTTCAAAAGTTGAATTAATAAAATAACAACATATGCATGATTTTTTTTTTAAAATCTGTTTTTTATTTTATTTGATATGTTTTCAACAAAAAAAAACTGACAAATACATAAAGTATTTATAATTTTTTTTTTATTTGTTACAAAAATATATTTAGTTTATTTTGTTTTATATTTAACTGTATATCATTTAAACATTGCAAACAAGTCAAATATGTTTAAAAGATATTTCTTTAAACTTTCTTTTTTTACAGATTACCAAAAAAGTTTCCATAATTACAAGTTTAAATATATATTTTTGAGATACATCCTTTAATCATATACTTTTGAGATATATCCTTTAAATATATACTTTTGAGATATATCCTTTAAACATATAGTTGTTTGAGATGTTTTCTTATCTTTTTAGTCTTAACCTATACAAAATTTGAGAAAGATATGACAAAAAAATAAAAAATAATAATAATAAAGTATAAGTGGTAGGTGTGGAACAGATTTACCATAATCTGTATTACTGATTCGGATAGCTAGTTTATATTGCAGCATATTGACATTATTCATCAACATATTAAGATTACTTGTATTTTTTTTTTTTTTTTTTGCTTTTCAAAACTGCTATTTGTTATTTTTTGGCTTCAAATGATTACTTAAATAACAGTCTTTTTAAAAAATTCAACACAACAGCATTTTTTTACAATATAGCATATTGTTTTTCATAACTACAACATAATGCACTTCCTTACATTATTACTAATGGTTGTTTTTAAAAACTTAATAAATTATAAACTATTTAAAAATTATTAGTCATGGTAATGCTTGCACAAATAAATTATTTTATACATACAACAATACAAAAAGCTAAAATAAATAGTTTATACTGTAAGATAAAAAAAATACCTAGATATATCCCGAATGAACTAAAAACTGGCTTATTAGAAGAAGACATTGATACTTTATCAGGATTTGTGAACATTTCAATTGGTAGACCTGAAGAAAGATTAACTGTGCTTAATGTATCTACTGTATTACTGTAATGTTTTTCTTGAAGTTCATTGTTTTCAGTTAAATCATAATGGCGAGCAAACACCTTAACATCTCCCCCCTTCTTATTTTCTCCTTTTTTTTTCTTTTTCTTCTCTTCTACGTCAGTTTCATTGTACCCTTTGTTTTTTTTTTTATTTTTGCCAAATGTTTCATAAGTAATTTCAATTGCTCCAATCTGGTTATCAATTATATCTTCATCTCCCATATAAACAGAATTCATCAAAGGTGTTTCTGATTCTTCATGAACATCAGCTTCTTCACAGTTGATTTCTTTTTCCTATAAAAAAAAAAAAATCAAAAACTGAATAATAAAGTTAAATTAAATTAAACAACAAACCTTTTATTTTGATTTAAATTTATAGTTCATTTGTTTACAGTTGAAATTTTGCAATTGAAATTTAAATATTTACAACTACATAAATTATATTCCCTGTAAGAGACTAACTAGCTTATTTGATTATTTACAACTACATAGCTTATATTCTCCATAAGAAACTAAATATTTTAATTGATTACAGCTACATAAATGATTACAGGTACATAACTAAATATTTTAATTGTTTACAGCTACATAACTAAAAAAAAAAAAAAAACCAGCTAGTTTGATTGTCAACAACTAGATAACTTATATTATCTCTTATATTATATTCTCCATAATAGATAACTTATATTTTCTCTTATATTCCAAAAAGATTATAAAGTTTTAGAGATGACTAAAATATAAGAATTGAACTTTTATAGTTTTTTCAAAAAACTGGGTTTTACTATGAAAACATTTCATTACATTTTTAAGTTTCTTATACTGGCCATAAATAATAAATTCTAGGTAAATATTTTAGCCTAGCTTACATTGCCTAGCTTACTGAACGAAATTACATTACAGTGCCTTGCTTGCATTAATGAACGAAAAATTAGTGAACAAAAATTTATTATACAACACTTAATTTTTTCAAAGATAAAATAATCTGTTCCATGTAACCTGTTCTATGCCCTGCTGCCTTGTAGAATTTGCTTTTTAAGCAAAGAAATATACTTCCTGTCATCAATACTATTATTATCTGTCATCCATATAATGCAATATAACTTGTTTGTTTTTTAAACAAGATGAAGGGAGCCAAATCCAAAAAACTGATGTTCGAGAATAAAAACTAGACAAATAAGAACTTTTGAAGCACTTTGGAACAGTCACAGTAAAAAGACAAGTAACATGAGAACTTAGATCTTTAGAGCAGTGCCCCATCGTAATATTTATAGAAAAGAGAAAGAGAAGCAACATTACGACAATGTGATAATGGTTGAAGATTAACTGCAAGAGCAGGTCCAACAATGTTTATAATGTACTTTTTTTTTTTCTGCAAATACTATCATGGTTGTAACAGCCAAAACTCATTTTTGCTTAACTTGTCATTCAGCAAAGTCACATCCTTTTACTGTATCTGTCCCTGCATGCTCTAAAAATTTTTATTTGTCTAGTTTTTTTTTTTCTCAGCACTTCAACCCGTTGAAACTCTCTCCCATCTTTATGTTTTCCTGAATCATATAATCTACAACTTTTCAAGTCTTCTTTCCTGTTCTTTAACTTTATTCTTTATTTTTTAGTAATTCCCATCTTTATAATGGTTACTTGCAGCCATGTTGGGACTGAATTATAATATAAAAATAAAAAATAAAAAAGTCAGAGTTTGTTTTTTGACTTTTTTAGAGAAAGTAAATAATAACAATAATAATAATAATAATAAAAATAATAATAAATATAGTAAATAACAAAATTATAGCAATGATAGATGTGCATAACTTTAGTTATTATAAAGAATGTAATTCTAAAGCAAATGTAAATATAAAAATATATAATAAAATCATAAAAAGTTAGTGGTAAACACAATTTACACTTATTATAAATAATTATTATCATATAACTTGCTTTTAAATCTATTAAGATAAAAATGTATCAACAAATACATTAAAAAATACCTTATCATCATCAAAAAATTCTTGTTCCATTATGTAAGTGTACTCAGGCTCAATAACTGGCCAAATATCAGTGCCTTGATGTCGAACACTGCTCCATCCCAAATCTTCCAGCTTACCAGCACCAAGGTTAGTGCTAGCCATCAATCCCAATACAAAAAAACATGTTCTAAAACAACACACAGCCTATTAACACAAAAAACAAAATCAAAGTATAAGTTTAAAACAATATCAATCTTATGAATGCACACAAAAAAAAAAAAAACACTTTAAAACAATACTAATCTTGTAAAGAAAAGAAAAATTTTTTAAACCAATATTCATTATATTTTTCATTACCCAGCTGAGCTATCCAGTCACTACTATTCTTTTGAACACAAAACAAAAAATGATGGGAAAAACATTTTGTTAGCATATAACACAACTTTTAAACACAAGAAAACACTCTTGATCTTTTAGAACAATTATATAATCATTACTTCAATCATTTAGAACATCTGTAATATTGATGTTTTTTAGTCTGAAGAATTTTAAGATATAAAAATTAGATTAACTTCAATCATTTAGAACATCTGTAATATTGATGTTTTTTAGTCTGAAGAATTTTAAGATATAAAAATTAGATTAACTTCAATCATTTAGAACATCTGTAATATTGATGTTTTTTAGTCTGAAGAATTTTAAGATATAAAAAGTAGATTAACTTCAATCATTTAGAACATCTGTAATATTGATGTTTTTTAGTCTGAAGAATTTTAAGATATAAAAAGTAATATTTATTTAAAAATAGACTCACCCTCTAACTGTGAGAACAGGGCTGTTTTGAGCCATATTAACAATTAACTCAACAATATCTATTTGATCATCTTCATGCCTTTCATTTTTCATTTGGTTATCTTCGTTCTTTAAATCTTCCAGATTTTCGTTTGCTTCATATGATCCTATTGATGACGAACGCTGATATTTTAAAATGAGATTCATTCCAGACCATCGTGAAGAAATATGTCCCTACAAAATAAAACCAACAATATTCTTGAAACTATTTTAACAAATAAAAATACACAATATACAACTTAAGTGAAAAATATCTTTATGTCTTGAAAATAAATAAAGGATCATAGAATTATAGAAAGTAATATACAAGAACTGTATAACACAAGAAACATAGTTATAAATATAACTAAGTATAAAAAAAATATTAAGATTAGAATTATGATAAAAACCTTGTTTTAAAATTGTTATCCTTAAAATAATATATAACCTTGTTTTAAAATTGTTAACCCTAAAATAATATATAAGTTGATCAGATATGCTCTGAAGTTTGACAAAGAAAAAAAGTCAGGAAAACTGGTCTGAAATTTTAAACTTTATTTAAATGTTTGCTGCCTTCAATGAATTAGATATAATAGTAGTCTATAGATATTACCCCATTATGGATTGAATTATTAAATAATAAAGTTAATGGATTAGAAAAAGTATTTACACATGGTTTTAACACAAAAGGATGAACCCCATCTGTTCCAACCAATTTTCTTGGATTAAACGAACACATCATATTAGTAACTTCAGTTTTTATCAAAGTTTGGTTAAATTTCATAGTTGATTAAAAATATTTATTTTCATCAAGCAAAAACAAAAAATCTCGCCTATCTGCTTTTGGTCCATATTAGAATCTTCAATTAATGTTAAATAATTTTGAAACAAAAAAGTATATAAACTAAGGACTTTTTTATAAGTTTATAAGCTTTAAGAAATATAAAATTGAAAAAATAAAGCAATATAAATTATGCAAACATGGTAATTTTTTTTTTTTAATTTTATATAACTCTGAACATGGCTGCAAGCAACCTATTAAATTGGGAGTGCAAGGTGACAAGCAACTATTATAGTGAGAGTTACTAGAAAACAAAGAATAGAGTTAAAAAGCGAGAAAATGCTAGAAGATTTGAAATATAAAAAAAGTTGCATCAGTCAGAAAAACAAGAAGATGGCAGAGAGTTCCAAAGGGTTCAAGTGCGGGGAAAAAAACTAGACAAATAAAAGTTTTTAGAGTATGCACGGATGATACAGTAAAACGGATGCTACTTTGTTGAATGAGGAGTCAAAGAAGAATAAGTTTAGATTGTTGAAACTTGAGATGAAAGCTCCTTTGAGCAGGGACCATGTTAGTATTTATAGAAAAGAGATAGAGATGCAACCTTATGACAATCAAAGAGAGACTCAAGCTTGGCTGATAAAGCAGGTCCAACTACATTTAAAATGCATTTTTAGACCTTTTCTAAAAGAAAAAGACCATCAAAAGAACCAGAATCAGAAGGACCAGCCCAATAATAACAACAGTATTCCACATAGGGACAAAGAAGAGATATGTTAATTATCATAGAAGAGGTAAAAAATGATAGACTGTAAAAGTTTGATTTTTTAGAAAAACTGTTAGAAACTATACTACAAGGTTTGTTAATGATCTATAAATAATAACTCAAATATTACTTTAAATGTTTGAGACACCAAAACAAAAAAGTGAATACTTGAGTTATGTATCTCTTCAGATAACTAAGTGCACTATCAGAACACATCTATCGCAAACACCCCTCAAATGATGAAGTGTACTATCAGAATACATCTACTATTAACACCACTCAAATGATGAAGCACACTATCAGAACACATCTATCACAAACACCCCTCAAATGATGAAGTTACTGAAATAAAAAATTTAACAAAAACTGTTTTTTAACTCTTTTTTTTTTTATGTTTCTATTTGAACCAAGTTTACTTTTATTCTAGGAATGTCCTGGCTTTCTTGTTCTGGATTATATTTGATAAATTTTCCTAATACTGATACTGAACCACAATATTAATCGTTAAAACTCTTTTGCTACCGCCATTTTAACAAAAATCTTTTTGCTGTGACCGCACATTTTTTTTGAATAAAATTTGAATAGAATAACATTAACAACTAACTAAAATTCAAATTTTGGTTCTCTTTAAAAACATAACAAACTATATATCAATAGAAAGCTAAACAAATTAACTTTTCAATTATATAAGTTTTTAACACACATCATTGAACAATAAGAAATGCAAAGTACTTAAAGTATTGTTTTTATTAATATTAACTAAAACATTAAGTCCAAAACAAAACTCATTTAATGTATAAAAAAAATGTTTTTTTTCAAAAGACCTTTGTAGTTACTTAGCTAAATACTCATACATTTCTACAAGTTAAATTTTACAGCTTAAACGCTGCTTTATTTTAGAACTAAACTTAAAGCAGTTTTTTTTTAATCAAGTATTACTCAAAATTTTTAAATTTTATCAAGTGATAACTTTTTTAATTACACAATATGGATCTTATTTATACTTGATTATGTAGAGAATTAATTAATCTTTAAGAAAAAACAAATTATATGTGTCTAGAATGAAAATTTATATACAAAACAAGATAAAAAACTTGAAAGCTGCTACCAGCGGCTTGTGGTCAAAATTTAAAAAAATCAAAAGCCGCTGTCAGCAGCCTGCGGTAGCGAAAGAGTTAATAAAAATTTATAGAACCACAATAAATAACTGATTCATTTATTTTAAATTAGCATTGCTTTTAAAGGTTATTATAACAAATACTGTCATAGCATGTCATACCAAGAGAACACTGTGACACCTCTGACATGGTGTGCAAAACATTGGTGCTTACTAGGTAGTGAGTCATTACAAACAATAATAAAAAATACATAATCAATGTGGTCAATGTGGATTTCTATTTATAGTTCTCTTTGAACAAAAATAATTATAACAAATATAATATGTAAGTTCTCTATTTAGCATTTCATTTTTGTCTCAGGTTTTAGCTATGTAAACACACACACATATATACAAAAAAACTTTAGGAAAATATAATTAGTTAAACAAAATCAATACTAATAAAGTTTTATTTATAAAATTACATAATAGATATTGATAAGAAACAATTAGAAAGCTTACAATTGACCAGAGTGCCGCTTTTAACTGAATGACATCTGAGAGTGTATCGGTTAAAGCCTCCACAATAACATTGACAGCATCTGTTAACAAGTTCTACCAAAAGAAAAAGAATTTTTTATAAAAGCATAAGAACAAAACTTATAATTTGATAAAATATTTGGAAAGCTCTAATCAACCAGTCTAAAAAATTTTAAATAATGTCACAAAATAATTAAAAAAATAATAAAGCTTATCTTTATTAATAATATAAATATATCTTATAAATGTAACATTATAAGTATATTTATAAAATATGTCTTAGATATAAAAAAATATCTATACAAATAACTGAAAGAATTTATAATAGATTTATAAACTTAGCATTTTCATATTTTGTTTTTAAGTACCACACCACACCACAACCTCACCATGTGAGCTAATAACATTTAAATATTCAAAATAAAAATGTTTAATAATTCTTTATGTATTAGAATATGAACTTATTTTATAAAATTAAAAAAAAAAGTGTTTTTCAGTCGTTTCAATAATTTTTCTTTCTAAACTTTTTTTTATTTCGTCGTGAAATATCAGGTAAAAATCAAGAAGACATTTATATTTATTCTCCTGAGTCTAAATAATTTTTCAACAACTAAATAATATACCATTTCTGATTGAACTATTGTGATTGCCATGGATACCATAATATTTATTTTAAAGTTGCACTGTTCTTCAATTTTTCCTGCAGCTAAAAAATTAAGTTTCTAACAGATGAATTAGAACCTGCTGGAAAAGTTTTTTTAAACATTAAAACTTTAGTCTTCCAATTTGAGTCTTCTATTATATAAATTTGGATACAAAAGAGTGCAAGGAAGTGGTTGTGTGGCCAAAACCATGACCACTAAAGTGATCAAGCGTCTGAAAACTATATTTGACCACATTGACAGAGTTTTGATGAGGCAAGCCGGTTGAAAATTTAGATGCAGTCATTCACATATCAATAAAACTCTTGCCAAGTACATCGACATCAAAACTTATACGAGACAAGGTATACCTGATCAACAAGCGAGCCAGAATAAGCAAATCAAGACCGGCATTGATTGTCTTTATCAATGCTGGTCTTTATTATAGGAAAATAGAAAAAGCGGTCATCCTTGATGATGAGTCTTACTTCACACTGTCGCACTCAAAAATAAACGGAAACAACATCTACTACTCCAAGACAAGACAAGAGACAAGACTCCACTAAGCGTTAAACTTCGCAATACTGCTTGTCTGGCTGGCCCTCTCTGACAAAGGTATTTCCAAGCCATTTTTTATCCCCAGTGGCCTTGCAGTCAATAAAGCCATTTACAAAATGGATTGTATTATGGGAAGATTAGTGCCGTTCATTAATGCTTATTATGCTGATGGTAATTATGTATTTTGGCTAGACCTAGCCTCATCACATTATGCCAAAACCGTGACCACCTGCTATGAGACTCATAACATCGGAGTGCCGCCCAATCGAAGACTTTGGGCTATTTTGAAAGACAAAGTGTATGAGGGTAACTAGCAAACAAGAGACGTGAAGCAACTATAAACCAGAAAAACTAAAGGTTAAGGTCAACTAAAAAATTGACCTTAACCTTGTATTTTCCCTTTTTCGGTCAAAACTCTATTTAATGATATTTTTATTTAATCTCTACCTTAACTATGGGAGTAATTGCCCTTAAAAATATGTCCGGGTTTTTAGTAACCACCCATTATACATAACAATATAAATAATACTTTAAAAGAAACTTACCTGCTTTATAATAAGATCAACACCAAAATCATTGACTGCAAGTTCTCCATATAAATGGGGCAATATGTACACATCTTTTTTCTTTTTAGTACTAAAAATTTAAAAGTTACTAAAGAAATTTCAAAAAACAGTTGGAAAAAAATAAGAGTAAAATACTAAATGGGATTCAAAATAATCTACTTGAAGAAAATACCTAGAATTTGACCTTCTAATATATAGACCATCTTGAGACTGCGGTTCAAATGTACTTAGAGATTTTGCAATTTCTATTTCTATCCAATTAACATACTCTCTGGTGTATTCCTATATGAATATTTTTTAGTTAAAAATTTGTAAACATGTTAAAAAAAAAGGATATCATTTAAATAATTAAATAACTAACTTCTAAAACAATTAAATATTTGAAGAGAAAAAGAAAAGATTGTAAGAAATAAAAACAGTTTTGCATCACAAACTTTAGCATCATTTTATTGAGCAGGTGTCTCTACATCAGATCCAATTCCTTTTCAAGCTCTTTATTGTGAGAATTTATAGCTTTTATGCCAGCATCACTTTATACAACTCTTGGAATTAGGGTCGGCATTCGGCAATGCTGACTTAACTGCCAACCTGAAAGTGTTTGAGGTCGGCAAAAAAATGCCGACCTCATTTTTATGTTTCATGGTAATTCTTTTAAATCAATTTTTTTTGCCGACCTAATGCTGACCCCCAAAAGTTTGGGAACAACAAAATATTGCCGACCTCATTTTTGTTAATTTGGAGGGTTGCTTTGTAAATTTTAAAAGCCTTGAAATCATAAAAATATTACATCAAAATATTTAAAAATATTTATAATGGAACTCAGTTAGTAGCAGATTTTTAAATTTGAGTGATTAAGCTTATTTTTAAGTTTGGAAAAAACATTGAAAGACTTATAAAAAATAGCAAGAAACTCTTGGAACATTATGCTATGCACAGTGGATATCCTAAATTAAGTGTGTATATATATATATATATATATATATATATATATATATATATATATATATATATATATATATATATACATAAAAAACATGCCTAAAAAAATTATTCTCAAAAAAACCTGAAAATATTGACTTTTTTCATTTTCAGCCTAAAAACAATAGTTTTTATGCATTTATACCTGAAAAAATTATTTTTATAAAAAATTATTTTCATTTTTAAATTTTTTATATAATTTTGCTTATTTTGAGTACCAGGTTGACATACTTTAAAAAAAGTTTTTTTTTGCAAAATATTAGGGACCCGTCAAATTTTTGAGGGCCTTGAGCTACCCCTAAAAATATTTTTTTTCAAAGAAATTTTAAACCTAGTGTTTTTGTATTAGATAAAACACATTTAGGGGGTACGAGCAGGTTTTTCTCAAAAAAGTTGTTTTAAGCACCACCCTAATATATATATATATATATATATATATATATATATATATATATATATATATATATATATATATATATATATTATATATATATATATATATATATATATATATATCAAATTATTAGCCCACCTTGATATTTTTTGTACTTTTTGTCTTCTTAGTGGTAAAACTAATGTCTTAATAAAAATATAGATAAAAACTTTATATATAAATAAAGTATAACTACTTTTAAAATAAGATGCACAAAATAACAATAAGAATATGTTTATTAACATGAGTTTTTAATATTTTGTTGATTTTCCCTTATTTTTTATAACTGCACAAAGACAATTCAAATATATGCAATTTAAAGCCATTTCTTTTAAATGCGCCTTCTGATTCCAATGCCAAAAAAGTTTTTTAATCAATTGGGTCCTATTTATGACCTTTTCTTGCAAAACTTCTCTCTTTAAAGGGATCCCAAACCTCCAAGACATGTTGTGTTCATATTAAAGAGAATAATAAATAAAAATGCTTAAGGTAATTTTTCTTGATTAAATCAAAAGAATAAATGAGTACCAACCAGGGGTGTGGATTTAGAATTTTCAGAGTACGACTTCAAATCTAACTCTGACTCCATAGTAAAATTTTTGAAAAGTTCTTTGAAAGAATAAGAAAACTCTTTGAATTATGCAATAATTAAAAAAAAATTTATGAAAAGTTCTTTGAAGGTTTAATATGAATATATAATGTTAATTGAATATTTTGTACATGCATGTGCAATATCAAGAAGTTTTATTTTTGGAGTCGGAGTCATAATTTTGTTTAGCGACTCTGACTCCGCTAAAAATGTTGCAACTCTGACTTCACAGCCCTGGTACAAACAAAAACTAAATTTTTTATTTAGTTTTCCCCCTTTTATTGTAGGCCTAAAGGTCAGCATAATATACGCTGCAATCTACAGACTTGAATGGTGATGTATTTTTTTTTGTATTTGTAATAATGTGGTATTTTTCTGTATTTCTGGTATTTTTCTGACACTGCGTAATAATTTTTGTACATAATTTTTGTCGTTATTTTTTTGCTGTTGTTACTGGTATTCCCTTTTATGTGAAACTTTTAGTTATGTAATTAAATATATTTTAATAATTGTTAAGTTTCCACTTTATTATCTTTATTATAATTATTATAATTATTATAATGTTCTACCAATTATATAACATGCTGTACTGAGCATATATATATATATATATATATAAAATAATAATTTACATACTCTTATACATGTCTACATATATATATATATATATATATATATATATATATATATATATATATATATATATATATATATATATATATATATATATATATATATATATATATATATATATATATATATATATATATATATAGTTTTTTCTAATGATGAATATGAAAGCGTATACCCAAGTGATCCTGTCCCTCCACGTTTGTATGGGCTAATTAAAGCTCATAAACAAGAAAAATCTTATCCGATGATAGTAGTTGTATCAACTATTGGCACACCTTGTTAAAGAATTTCGAATTACTTGGTTAAAAGAATACAACTGGTCTTAAATGAAAATCCTATTAGGTTAAAAAATTCAAAAGACTTTATTAACAAGACTAAGTCGTGGTTAATTGACAAGGATGAAATACAGGTATCCTTTGATATCGTAAACTTATACCCATCAATACCATTAAAAGAAGCAACTTTAATACTTTTGGATCAATAAAATAAAAGCGTTTCTTACAAAAACTTAACTAAACTTACTTTAACTGAAACAAAACAACTAATTGAACTTTGTTTGTTTCGTTGTTATTTCTTGTGGAATGGTGAGATTCATGAGTTGGAGAATTCAGGCCCAATTGGATTGTCATTTATGGTTTTTTTTGGCTGAATTTTTTTACAATACCATGAGGAAAAGGCAATAAAAATGGCAACAACAATGATTCCTTTATTTGATATTAAATCCTTTCATAGATATGTAGACGATAGCCATGCAAGGTTTTCTAACTTAAATCAAGAGGAACAGTTCCAAACAATTATTAACAGACAACATCCTTCTTTAAAATATACTATTGAGGTTGAAAACAAAAATAAGATACTTAACTTTTTGGATATAACTGTTATTAATAATACACAAGGAAAAGGTAAGAGTTCAAGGTTTACAGGAAGGATGCAATAACCAATATCCAAATCAAACCTCATTCTAATCATGATCCCAAAATTTTAAAAGCAATATTCAAAGGATACATACACAGAGCATACTCAATATGCAGTGAAAACCATTTAAAAGATGAGATAAATTTTTTGATTCAAGTGTTTACTGAAAATGGATATGATGAAAAAAATGCTTAAAGATATTTCTGATTAGGTTCGAAAAAAACATTTTGCGAACAAAAATGAAATTCCATCAAACTCTAATAACCTTCCTACAATCACTTTACCATGGATACCAATAATATCACCCAGACTTAGAAGAATATTCAGAAAAGCTGGTTACAGAACTGTTTTTAAATGCTAACCTAAAAACGCTATTAACGTCTAAAATAAGTCTAAATTACCATGCTACAGCAACCCAGGAACCTATTTAATTAAGTGCAAATGCTCAAAAGTATATGTTGGTGAAACAAAACTTCAAATACAAACAAGGGTTCAACAACACCAAAATTTTTTGAATGAAGGCAAGTTAAACCAGTTGCATTAGCTTTGCATAAAGTAAATTGTAATGAGGACATTGAATGGAATAAAGTAATCTAAACATTTTATTATCTCCTCAAATTTTTTTCTAACCAACCTTTGTTTGTTTCCTAATGGATTTTATAACCTTTAAATTTTTCTCTTACTTCACTTTCTATTTTGCAAAAATTTTTTCGTGTGACGTTTTTTGAACATGCCATCCTTTCTGATCATTGAGAAAATTTACAATTGCCCTTATTATTGATACTATTAAAGAATCTTTAATAGTATCAATAATAAGGGCAAGTCTGTAATTCCACCTCTTTTATACGGTTCAGACTTTGTCACCTCACCTAAAGACGAAGCTGAATTGTTTGCCAAGAACTTTTCATCAATATCATCTCTTGATTCCACTAGTTGCGTTCTACCTGATATAGCTGTCAAACAAGTTGATCCATTGCTCGACATCCGTATCACTCCAGCTTCTGTATCTAAAGTGATTTCCTGCTTAGACTCTTCTACAGCTTGCGGCCCGGACAACATACCTGTTATAGTCTTGCAGAAGTGTTCTCCGTAGCTGTTGTCTATCTTTTCAAAATTATTTAACAAGTGCTTATCAGAGTCTTGTTTTCCAGCCTGCTGGAAAGCAGCATCTGTTATTCCTATTTTTAAAAATTCTAGAGAGAGATTCGATTCATCTAACTACCGTCCCATTAGTCTCCTTCCTATCATAAGCAAGGTTTTTGAATCTTTAATTAACAAACACTTAATCTCTCATCTTGAATCTCATAACCTACTTTCTGATCATCAATATGGATTTCGATCTTCTCGTTCTATGGCTGATTTGTTAACAGTATTGACCAATAGGTTTTATCGTGCATTAGATAAAGGTGGAGAGGTTAAGGCCATTGCTCTTGACATTTCTAAAGCGTTTGATAAAGTTTGGCATGCTGGTCTTCTCCATAAGCTTTCTTCTTACGGTGTATCTGGAAACATCTTTAAGATTATTGAATCCTTTCTTTCCAATCGTAGTGTAAAAGTTGTCCTTAATGGACAGCACTCTTTTTCTTATTCTGTAACCTCAGGGGTTCCTCAAGGTTTAATCCTTGGCCCTATACTCTTTTTAATTTACATTAACGATCTTCCAGATATCCTCACATCTAAGGTGGCATTGTTTGCTGATGATACTACCATTTATTCTTGTCACGATAAGAAGCC